ACCAACCAATTGCGAGGACATCACCTCAAGGTTCAAAAACCACGGTCGAATCGTCTGCGTCTGGAAATCCGTTTTTCGCATCGAATTGTGAACCATTGGAACTCCCTACCGGAACACGTCGTATCAGCGCCATCCGTTGATTCATTCAAGGCGAGATTGGACCTCCTGTATGCAATAAATCGAAAGGATTAACACAGGCATATAGCCTACTATCCTAAATAAATTGTGAACTGTGTCCTCTCTCACCTCTACAGTAAAGTTCAACGGAGATGCTACTCACAAAACAACCTAGGCAGGCTCAGATGCATGTTGAAAGACACTAACTGGGACTTATTTACATAACAAACATTAGATGAAACAATTACAAACACTACCGATTATCTTAAATTCTGTTTCGAAATATGTTGTCCTAAAGAAACATTATTCATTCGATTTAATCGCTTATCTTCGCCATATCTCAAAAAGCTACGTGAATTGAAATAGAATTTTAAGATTATTTATTATCCTCCTCTGATTTGACTGACCGTTAGGCGAAGACGCTGAAAAAATGCAGTCTTCTGAAAACCTTGAGCTGTATTTTACGAATGTTTAGCATGCGATTCGCTCCCACCAAATGCAAGATGATGTTACAGGACTGGACTACATCGACGCCTAGTTTAAAAATAGGAAGTGAAGTGGTAGAGCACGTTGACCGCTTCACTTATTTGGGAAGTACCATCAGCCAGTGCCAACGGGTTGATCTCTGACGAAATCTCAGCACGGATACAGGGGGCTCGTTTCGCATTTGCCAGTTTACGCCGTCTCTGGTGTTGATGACATATTCGACTATCGACCAAAAGGTGGGTGTACTGCTCATCAGTCCGCTCCGTCCTCCTTTATGGCCAGCTGTGAGACCTGGCCACTGAGATTGGAAGACATGAAAAGATTAGCTGTCTTTGATCATAGGTCCCTGCGTTCTATCTCCCGTGTGAAGTGGCATAATAAGGTGAGCAATATTGAGGTTAGGCGCCGGTCGAGTTCCAGGTAAACAGGGGAAATCAATCGATGAAGTTGTGAAGTTACACATATTGAGATGGTTAGGACATGCGTAATGTATGCCTTCTCATCGCCTTCCTTGACGAGCAATGTTAGCGGATATAGGGTCAGGTTGGAAAAAAGCTAGCTAGCGGCGGTCAAATAACAACTTGGCACCTATCAATGAAATCCACAACAGTTGGTCGAAGCCATGTAGGAAGGTCTAGACTGGCTTCCTGACTGGTTGGGGTCCTCGGGACGGTGAAAATCAATGATGGCTAGAAACAATTGGTGACATGGCTCAAAATCCTCGTTGTCCATGGCTGGTGCAGATGCATCCACTCCTTGTGACTTATGATTTCCAATGAAACTATATTGTTCTTCGTTATTACTCTTCCTTTGTCTCACACCTCTGCTTACTGTCTGTATTATGCTTTTTCTTGTACTTTCTTCTCCTGCATCGCGTGCTAGACGGAGTGTGGCGACTTGAACTTCCGCCCATATGTGCAAAGTTCTATGTCGAAAACTGACAGACTGGTGGTAATAATATCTTCCATACATATTTCTGGTATTTTGCATTGAGTCAGTTATGTTGTATATGGTTTGTTAGGTGTGTAGACTCGATGAACCAGGCAGGATTCAGTAACCAATCTCTCTCTCTCTCCATCTACTTATATTATTTTTTAGAATTTGGACACTCTCCCACCCTATTTTGTAGTTGTGTTTTAAGGCATGCATTGTTGTTGGTGTGCTGTTTTCTGAATTACTTATATTCTTGAGGTCAACCATTCTTACCTTTGCTAAATTCATACACACTGTACACTTTGTAAACATTGTCTACAATAAAACTGTAATTATTATCATTATTATGGTTGACAATATATTTGAAGAGTAATTTTTATTGACTACATCAATATCCAGTTGTCAAAGATCAGTAGAATTACAGTCACAAGCAACTTTTGCCAAACATAAGATCAGAGTATAATTAATTGGTGGATGGTGGGGGTGACTAGCAGTGTAATCCAGGGTAACGCGCATTTTTTTTCTCCTGTTTTGAGAGTTGTCTGCCAGCTAGATGTGCATTGTGCAGTGAGTGGTGGTGCTCCGACCAAGGCTGGAACCCAGTGCCCACAGTTTCAAACGTCAAAATCGAATTACATAATTAATATTACGTGTTACTCATGAGGGGGGCGTGTGGCTCTCGTGGCCCAATCGGTCCTGTGGATGACACTTTGGCGTTTGAACCTATGGCCACTGGGTTTGAGCCTCAGTGGGAACATCATCACTCACTGGGAAATGCAGGTACATCCAGATGATGAATCCGGAATAGGACGAAATACGCGTTATCCTTGATTCCATGAATCAATAGACACATCGAGATAGACAAAATTTATCAACGGAAAACAAAGAAACCTTACACACACACAAAGGGTCAAATTTCAAGTCAAAGAAACAATCAGTTCCAATAGAAGTAGCCTAAAAGGTATGAAAACACACAAAAATAACCAATCTCGTCCAAGGTCACCGACCAGCAGAGATGATTAATATACTCGTGGAGAAATTTAAAAGTTCACTTCAATTCGAATTGAAGTATGGGCGCTGAAGATGTTGCCTAGTTGGGGGCGATGAAAGCTTCCTGAACACAACCACATCAAAATGTGATGATATATCTGCTTTGTCTCTGCTTCAAGAAATCCATAATATCTAGTTGAAAGTCTATTGTTAGATGTTCAGAAGTACATTTTGACAATCAAAGACATAAGTGAAGAACAGTTATCTCATGGATTGCAATATGTTGCCAGCCACAATCAGACCATTCTTCAAGATTAGTAGGAATTTGCGAATTAGACAGGAGCTTGTAAACACTTCAAATATGACCTATTAGAGGTCCGACAAAATGTTCTAAAATCCTCATTGGAAAGAACGTGTTCCCAAAGGGTTATTATTAAATCAAATAGAAGATCAAAATGTAATTATTATTATTATTGTTGTTCCCTTGGATTCCTAGTGGAACACAGGGCTTCAACTTCACGTCTCCGCTTCTTACTGTCTTCTGCTGTACTTTTCACCTGAATCCATGTTAGTCCATACTGTTTCAACTCCTCTTCACACGATCTCCTCCATATCACCCACCATTGCACTGACGTCCCACTCGCCACTTCCCTTTCCGCCTGGTTCCACTCGAGCACTGGACTGTCACCCAGCGGCGGCCACCTCATCGAGCGAGTGTCCAATTCATCCATCTCCACCTTCTCCTGCTTATTTGTTGGTTGGCGATTGGTTCTTCTTTTGTTTGTTTGCTCCCACAGTTTGTTCTTGTTGGTGATTCTCTCCGGTCCGGTTATCTGATCTTCAGTATAGAGCCAGCGAAGACAGTTGTTGTTGATGATGAAGGTCTGCAACAGGCTGCTGGAAATATTCTTTGTGACCCGCCCCTCCCGCCAAGTTTCTGATCCGTTCCGTATAGAAGAACTGGCTGACTTGACGTTTGTATTGGAAATCCGATGGAATTTTGTTGTTGATGGTGGCTGAGTGACGAAGATTTCCAGATTGGTTTGTTTCAGGTTGATGAATGTGTTTCTTGCCTGCCTTCCCGATTCTCACTCGATTTGACATCCTCGTCTGTTCCGACTGGCTGTAGTTGAGACAATGCTCCCTAATTAAGATAAGTGAATGACGTCACCTCTTTTAAATCCCTCCCGTTGATGGTGGGTGACTGGCGGTGGATGTTGCTATTGTTGACTGGTTATTTCCATAACCTAAAATGTACTTAAGTTGAAAAAAAAATCCGTGGAATTCATGGTGTATTTTTCATCAATCAAACCGCTGTTTATATTAGTACAGTTTATATTCGTTAAGTAATCACTGAGCGTGTGATTTCGGTTTACATCAAACAGCAAGAAGTAGATTGTTCAAATATACATATGTGTAGTGTTCTGTTGTTAATGCAGTCAGTATATAACCGTGGGAAATGTTTTCTGTCTCTAACATCAAATAGAATGTTCAAACAGATATGTATTGTATGCAGTGTTGAACTAGTGGCATGGTGGTCACATTACAACCTGACTGATAGAATTCAGTCTACACCAATCAGAGGACTGGAAGCATCACACTAGTTACTAGTGTCGAACATTTTACCTTATTTATCATCCTGTGATTTCACTAGTGGTAATAATGTCTTGCATATCTTTGGTATTAGCAATCATGAGTCACTTTTATTGTATGTATTGTGGTTAGGTATGTTGACTAGATGAACTGTTAGCACCTTGTATTCATTCTTCTCTACCATCACATGTGTACAAACTTAAACTACTGTAATCTTCAAATAAATCATCACAAACAAACACATCGATAATTAGGGAGGGAATAATTGAAAACTGTTCAGGGAGTACTGGACAATTGTTCCGTCATAGTTTACAACTGTCCAACAATGTGTACCCATAACATAATTCCCACGACGGACTAATCCCAAGACCTTGAGAAGGATCATGAGGCCAAGTCCTTTTGATCATTCAGTGACTTGGAAAGGGTTTCAATCATGCGTGAACTATAAACTTTATTAACACACTATATATCAAGGGAATTGGATGTTCAATATATCCTTCATCGTGGTTGCCAGTAGAGCTACATCAAGCATTGACAAAGTTAGAATTTACGAGTGAGTGAACTGTGAACGAGTTTGGCTGCATACTTACGGAAAGTTACTGATTCAAAACAGTGGTTGGTGGAGTCTTGACTGAGCGCTACTGATGAAGAGAGTCCTAAACCAGGACAAAACAGTTGTGTGATATTGCTTCGCGATAAAATCTCCATTGAAACGCACTTAGTCCGGCGTTCGATTCCAGACCGATGCACTACTTCTTAGCCTTACTTAGCCAGTTAATAAGCGAGGTAATGAGAGGAGATTGACGGCTGTGGAGCCGGTTATGTTCTACTCAGACCACGGAGAAGATCAAAATGATAACAATAATAATTAGAATACTTACGGTAATACAGACCAATTCGGTTGTAGAAGATTACCAATGCGTATAGTTTTGATAGACTTTAAAGCAATCCGATTGGCTGTACATTCTTCATTGATAAAATTAAAATTAATAAGCATGAGGTAATTGTCTGTCAGGCAGACAGTAGTCTCAATTTCATGATCCCAATGATTAATTCTACAAAAAGAGAGAAGAAAGGGAAACCAGTTAGAAAAGTGGGGGAGGGGTGAAGAAATGATGTTGTAACAACAAAAGACAAGGGTAAGGCAACAAATCCTTTTTATTACGGAAATCAACACAGATATTTATTGATTTTTTATGTACATTATTATAGATTATTATTAAGAGAAAAACACCGTCCTCTGATTGGTTGTTTCTCACTGAAAGTTAATCGTTCACCTCTTTGTGGCTGTTTCTTGAATGTCAGATCACCTATATATGTTAACTGTATCCACCTACGCAAAGGTTTTGTTCTCATTTTTCTCACGACAAATGCTGGGAATATAAACACTATTGACGTAAATCACTGTCTACCAATTTTGACTAACAGCCAGCTCTCAACATAACAACTACTACTAGTACTAATGGTTGCTCTGTCTATCTGTCTATTTTCGACATAGAACTTTGCACTGATATGCGTCAGTTCAAGTCGCCACAATCCCTCCTTGTAGCACACAAAGCAACAAAAGAAAGTACAAGAAAAAGCATAATACAGACAGTAAGCAGAGGTGTGAGACAAAGGAAGAGTAATAACGAAGAACAATATAGTTTCATTGGAAATCATAAGTCACAAGGAGTGGATGCATCTGCACCAGCCATGGACAACGAGGATTTTGAGCCATGTCACCAATTGTTTCTAGCCATCATTGATTTTCACCGTCCCGAGGACCCCAACCAGTCAGGAAGCCAGTCTAGACCTTCCTACATGGCTTCGACCAACTGTTGTGGATTTCATTGATAGGTGCCAAGTTGTTATTTGACCGCCGCTAGCTAGCTTTTTTCCAACCTGACCCTATATCCGCTAACATTGCTCGTCAAGGAAGGCGATGAGAAGGCATACATTACGCATGTCCTAACCATCTCAATATGTGTAACTTCACAACTTCATCGATTGATTTCCCCTGTTTACCTGGAACTCGACCGGCGCCTAACCTCAATATTGCTCACCTTATTATGCCACTTCACATGGGAAATAGAGCGCAGGCACCTATGATATGATCAAAGACAGCTAGCTAATCTTTTCATGTCTTCCACTCTCAGTCTCTAAAGCTGTCACTAATGGTTGGTAGAATCAAACTAATACCAATATACAACAAGAGTGTACAAAACGATGACAAAATCTCTGAAAATAACCAACCACGTTCTCAGGCTACAAGAGGAGATTTGACTGACAAACGTATCCAAATGCAGAGAACACTGTACAAGTACAATCAGAATGATGCAAAACGTCTATATCTTGGTGATATGGAAAGTAGCCAGAAACAATGAGGCCAAAGTTGCAGAAAGAGAAATTGACTGACTAACTGACTGACTGATTTCAACATCGAACTTTACACCAATGTGCAGCAGCGATTCGAGTCGCCACACTTCATTCAGCACACAAAGCCAGAGAAGGAAGTAAATGGAAATGCAAAACCGGGACAGTAAACATAGATACAAGGCAAAAAGAATAGTAACGTGCTGGAAGAACAATATAGTTTTATTGGATATTATAAGTGACAAAGAGTGGATGCATCTTCACCAGCGATTGACAACGAGGATTTTGAGCCAGCAATATCACCAATTGTGCAACTTATAGAATCGATGACGTTTCTGAATAAGATCCGGATTTTCAACTCCAAAGTAAAGTCAGTCAGTGCTACTCACCATATGGATCAGAGACTTGGTGAGTCATAAAGAGCATCTTCAACAAACTTCAGACCTTCAATAACAGTTGTCTTCGCTCAATACTCAAGATCAGATGACCGGTCAGAAAAGATCGGCAACAAGGAGGGGTTCTGGCAACGAACGAACCAACCAGGAACCGATTGTGCAACAAATATGCAGGAAGAAATGGAGGTGGGTTGGATTGGCCATACTCTGAGAAAACAAATCATCAAGTGACGTCACTAGACAAGCCATTGCTCGAGAGGAACCCAAAAGAGAGTCGGCGAGTTGGTCATCCAGAGGTGACTTAAAGGTCATGTGAAGAGGAGATGAAACCATGTGGGCAGACTTGAAGCGGGGTGAAAACGTTGACAGAGAAAACCGAACGCAATGGTGACTTGGGCGGCTGAAGTCTCCTATGTTCCTCTAGGGATTAAAAGAAATAATAATAATATTGTACCATTTCACATGGAAGATAGAACGCAGGCGATAAAGAGAGAGAGAGAAGAAGATATACATAAGACAAATTATGAAGCCAAATAACTCAATTGATATGATTATATAAGCAGCAATAATCTATTCACGAAACCTGATCATCCACTTATCAATACTGCAAAGCCACTATATGATAACTGAAATAAAATTATCTCTCATAACATGAAACTACATTCTGCCACAATGCTCATCAATGCTCAAGTCATCAGGATCACCAATATCTCCGATTGTAGCAGATATAATATTCATGGATAGGTGGAAAAGCATAGCGATTGAAACGTTCAGATCCCCTTACCCCAAAAAGTATGGTGGAGGTATGTAGATGACATAAGATATAGATAGATTTTTTCGAACACATCAACTCGATGGTGGAGGCAATTCAATTCACTTATGATGAATTGAAAAGTCAGGAAGGAAGGGGAACTTCCAATGTTAGATTGCAACGTAAAAAGGAAAGAAGATGGGGAAGTAAAACACACAGGTGTGTGTTTACAGGAAACCCACACATTCAAACAGATACTTGGAATTCTGATCATTCCATCCTATGTCAGTGAAAATAAGACTGGTGAAGTGTTTAAATGACAGGGCACAAAAACTAAGAAGTTCCAAGGAAAATCCAAGACAGGAAGTGATACACATAAAAGAAGCCTTGAAACTTAATAATTACCGGATAAATTAGTCAAGAAATATGTAAGGAAATGTAAAAATAAAATAAATAATGATAATAGCAATAGTGATAATAATTATGTTAATGACGACACCAGCAATAAGGAATCTAAATCATCAGTAGTAATTCCATACAAGGAAGGGACCTCGAAAACCACCTTACGCAGAATTCTTAACAAGGCAGGAATAAAAGTAGCATTCAAACCAACCACAAACTCAATTAGAAACAAGCTTTGTCGGTTAAAGGATCAATCCTGTGGAGTCTTTAAAACAAAACAATTTAGTTTATCTAATACCCTGCAATGATTGCCAGTGAGGTCAAGTACATAGGTCAAAGTAGTAGAACAAGGGCAATCAGACCAGCCGAGCATAAAAACCTAGCAAAATCTAGATTGGTTGACCCAAATAAGATAAGAAATGTAGAAAACTCAGTACATGCAGTCACA